CTATCTCTTGTTGAAGTAATGTGTTTTCCTTATTATTTAAGGTGTTTGAAATCTAATTTCCGTTTCTTACAGCTTAAGAAATTCTAAATGTGTGCAATGATGGCTAAAAGTTCTTGAGATACAGTAGATTTTTTCTTTTCTTTCTTTTTTTTTTTCTTTTTCAGTTGATTATTATGTAAGCAATTTACAGCTCTTGGGATTACTCTGAGGCAAATCATATATATGCTGGGAGCCTCAGGTTTTTCATCTGTAAAGCAAGAGAGCAATTCATTTATTTATTCAGCCACAAATATTTATTAAGCACCTATTATGTTCCAGATACTTCTAGGAGTTGGGAATACATCAGTGAACAAAAGAGATAAAAATCCCTGCTCTCGCTGTGTGTGTAATTTAGGGGAGGGGACAACTGATAAATAACGTAAGTAAAATGAGGAAAGCAGTATGTTAAATAGTAAGTGGCAAGAAGAAGAAAATCACGGGAGGAAGATACAAAGTGTCTGGTGGGAGAGCGAGTTTGAAATTTTAGATAGGATTATTAGTGAAGGCTTGACCAAGAAGGTGACTTTATTTTGTAACAAAATAAGAAAGCGAAGGAGCCAGCCTCTTGCCTCTTGCCCTTCTGAGGAAGCATATTTCTAGCACAGTAAACAGCATGTGTTAAGATCGCAAGATGGGAGCACCGATGGCACGTTCACAGAAGAGGAAGGGGAGGAAGTTATGGGGAGAGGGGCATCAGGCAGGGCCTCAAAGGCCCCTAAAGGGACTTACTTTGTCTCTTACTTTAAGTGAAAGCAGAAACTATCCGATGACTTTTAGCAGAGAAGTGACATGCTTTGACGTATTTTAACAAGTTCATTCAGGCTGCTGCTTTGAGAATAGACAGAGAAGAGCAGAAACCAAGAGAACTGTTAGAAGAATATTTCAGTAATAGAGATAAAATGATGATGATTTGATTCAGGGAGGTAGCTTACAGTATTATGAGCAGTGGTCATATTCTGGTTATGTTTTGAAGAGATTTCAAATAGAGAGGAATTAAGAATGGCATCGAGATTTCTGGTCTGATCAATGGAAGAATTAAGTTACCCATCCTTGAGATATGAAAAGAATTGTAAGAGAGGGTTTTGGTATAGACCATCAAGAGCTCAGTTTATGACACGTTAATTCAGCATGCTTATTAGATATATAATGTAGTTTCAAGTCTAGCCTAAGCAACACAGCAAGACCTTGTCTCAAAAACAAACAGGCAAAACAGAAAAAAAGTAATGAAAACAAAAAGGCTTTCAAATTTAAAAGTCAGGTTGATGAAAAGGGATCAGAGACTGGGAAGGTGCATCTATAAAGGTGGGAGGAAAATGAGGCAAATGTATCATTTGAACGACAAGAGAGGAAGGTTTAAAGATTGAGACAGTGAACAACTGTGCCAAATGCTGCTGAGATGAAGTAAAAATGAGGACAGAAGACGGATCTTTGGATTTAACAATATGGTAGTCATTGGTGACTTTGAGAACTGTTTCGTGGAGTGGTAAGGGCAACTGGATTGGGTTTAAGAGAGAATGGGAGGAGAGAAATTTCAGACAGCAATTTAGGGAAGCCTTTCAAGAAATCAGGATATAAAGCAATGGGGTACTGGGGGATACATCTAGTAAGGAGGAAATTATTTATAATTACAAGGCAAGGTGAGGAGAGTTACTAGAGCAATACGTATGAGCAGGTATGAGGGGAATGGGATCTGGTGCACAGAGGTGGTGGCCTTTGTCAGGTACATGACCTATTTACAAACAGTAATAAAAGAGATATCAGGGTGCATACACAGAGATGCAGAGATTACTTCATTTCTTGCGGTGAAATAGGAAGGGAGGTCCTCACCTGAGTGAGGATAGGGGGAGAAATGTTGGAGGTGGGAAAAGTAAATGAAGTCTGAAATAGTTGACAGAAGAATGGAAGAGAGAATGGATTAGGGACATACGATTTTTGGGCAGCCTCTGGGGTTTATTTGAGGGAGGTGAATGGCCATGAATATATAACAAGAACTGGCAACACAGGGACACGTTCTTCCAGCTACATTCAGCCACAGGATTATAAGCATGACCGAAGCAGATAAGAGGATGTATCTATGGTTGTGGGTTTCCAAGAGTGTGAGAAATTCCAAGGAGCAAGTGAGTTAGGTTCTACTAGCCTTATAAAGAGCTAACTTAGGTTAAGCCCAGACTAGCAATTGAGTCAGGCCATAGCACAAATCATTACATCCCAAAGCAGTTTCTAAGCATCTGGTTATCGATAGAGAGTCACTAGAATTTGTGTAAGTATTTCACAATTTGTCCTGGTTCTGCCTATACACTCGGCAATAAAAGCTACCCAATAGTTCTTGGTCATTCAAGACTTTGAGACTAGGACAAAATAAACTTATTTTACTGTAAAATACCTGTAGATCTTCCTTTAATAAATGGTACCATAGAAAAACTTTGTGCTTTGTGTTTATTTTTGTGGACCTGTTTTCTTCTTAAAATGAAGTAAAAATAATGCCAAGCTTTTTAGTAGCAGAGGCCTAGCAGGAAGACATGTTTTCTTCCATAAATAATATGGTTTTAGGGAAGCTGAGAACAATCCCTCTACAACTAATGCCCATGCCTGTTTGCTGGGGCCTGAGGTGCCAACATCGGTACTCTTTGGCTTTAAGAAAGGGGTCAAAGCTGGCTGGGCACGGTGGCTCATGCCTGTGATCCCAGCACTTTGGGAGACCAAGCAGGTGGATCACTTGAGCTCAGGAGTTTGAGACCAGCCTGGCCAACACGGTAAAAGCCTATCACTAATAAAAATACAAAAATTAGCTGGGTGTGGTAGAGCACACCTGTAATCTCAGTTACTCAGGAGGCTGAGGCATGAGGCTTGAACCCGGGAGGAGGAGGTTGCAGTGAGCCAAGATCATGCCACTGCACTCCAGGCTGGGTAACAGAGTGAGACTGTCTCAAATCAATCAATCAATCAATCAATCAATCAATCAATAAAAGGAAAAGAGGAAAAAAGAAAGGGGTCAAAGTGTTCAGTGTCCACAGGAGCCAGCAGCAAACTCATGGGGTAGGCATGAAGCACGGGTGCCTGGTGGGGAAGGGAGCGTGCCTACTCCCCTCTAAAAGAGGCGGCAGCTTCTCTGCCTGCTCCCCTCTGACAGAGGTGTTGCTATACTGAACACAGAAACAGTGGGGCAGAACTTACACTTTTTCAAATTAATTAAGCCAGAAATCATGACTTTTACACAACATATCCAATTCTTATATGTTGGTGACATTAAAAAAATAAAACATAAAAACACTTTTTACGGGCAAACAATAATTCTTTTTCCTGTTGTAAAGCCTTCTGGAGTACAATTACTGCTTAATCTGTTATTGGCTTTTCCTACTCCAGTCTGCAAGAGAACACTCCAGCTCTCTTCTGAGAATGGGTTTTGTCTGAGAGAAAAGCAGGAATGCTGTAAATGCTTCCCTGCTGCTTTCTCAGGCCCGGGTGATTTATGACGGCTGTTGTTCAGCTCATGGACACATGGTCTAGTATGCTGATCTTCATGTAATTTTTTGGGATGTTCCCACCTTTAAAAAATCTGATAAAGAGACCACACAGCCGTGAAAAGTTCATAGAAGTCAGAATTTTATTCAATGAAATTACTCCAAAGCTGTGTCATCTATATTTACCCTTAATTATAATTCTTTTTACATAAAGATTAGAAATTTGAGTTGCTCAAGATTAATATTCCTTGAAAATTTCCTTAGGATACGCTGATTTACTACTACATTTCATTTTTCCTACTTTCAGCTAGATGACCACTTCATTTGGTATTTCTCAGCCTCCTGCTGAGACATTTGAATCCAAATATATCCTCAGCAGTAACAGTGGACCTACATAAAGAGGGCAGTCCAACAGCAAAACAAGAGTTATATACCTTCCCGAATAAAGAAGAGTAATAACAATAGAAATATTAATATCAGTGATGAGAATAGTCATACTGCTACCATCTAATGTCTATCAAATATCACTCTAGTTATTCTGTACCCATTAATCATCACAATATCTTTATTAAATTGGTATGTTTATTCTCATTTTACAAATGTGGAAACTGAGGTTCAGAGGGAAGAGGTACCTTACTCAGAGCATCAAGACAATGGTGAGAGAACCCGTAATTAAATCCAGGACTATCTGAGTACACCTTGAGGCTTCTGTTATCAACAGGGGTTGGCCTCAATTCAACAACTATTTACCAATGATATCTCCATACCTGGCCCTGGTTTGGGTTTAGGAATGCATTGATGAATACACAGTTCTTGCCAATAGAGACATTATACTGCAGTAGAGGAGACACAAATAGAAATATAGTTTTAAAACAATGTGGTTGGCTGGAGAGGTAAATACAATCTACTATGCAAGTATTGAGAGGGAAGCCCAGAAGAGGGCCTAGGAAGGTCTGCTGCAGAGGAGGATGCTCTACACTGAATCTTAGGAAAGAGTAAGAAGCAGGGAAAAGAAGTAGGGGAAGACTAATTTATTCTAGATAAGGAACATAAAGAACATGAACAGCATAAACAGGCAAGTGAGAAAGTGTGATGCTTTTAGCAAATCAAAAGAAGCTGAGCATCCATGCACACTCAAGTTCAAGCTGAGGAGTAGCAGGAGCTGGAGTGCTTGCCTATACACCAGGGATGGTAACACCAAAGTGTTACAAGGTCAAGTTTGTGTTAAAAAAAAAAAGCAGCCACGGGAAGGCTGTATTGGAGGGTACAGTGTAGACAAGGTTTTAGGAGTCTTAGTTGTTAACTACCTCGTTCTCAGCAACATTTTCCCAGAAGACACCATTGTTTTGCTCACAGAGAACAATTAACTTGCCATTCTCACCAAGTGCAAATTGTTATGTACTAAATGAGACCAGAGTAGGACACATTGCCCTTGACAGTGGCCAGCACCACGCATGCATAAATACAGTACCTCTTCTGAAGAAATAAAGATGGACGCACTGTCAGCAGAAATCACAAATTTATTAACTCTTAAATATACCAATCAGTCATTTACCATTATGGCAAGAAATATATACAGTGTCCCATGGTAAACTGCAGTGTTTCAAAATGATAGAAGATAATAAATGTGTAATTCAATTGTGGCGGAGAGAACAAATCACAATTTCCTCACATCTCAGTGCGGAAGACAAACTTGATCTACAGTAATACTTCAACACCACATGCTAAGTTAAAAGTGTAAAAAAAAAAAAACCACTCTACACCTATTTTTTTCCTTTAAATACATGTATGCCACGTACAGCTGCTTCACAAAAAGGTAAAAGTAATTAAAAAGGGAAAAATGAGGCCATTATTTTTTCACAGATCTCATTCGCAGGTTAACATGGCTCAATATATTTACTGTATATATTTATTTTAAATATATATTGTTTTAAATTGTGTAATAATTATCAGAAAAGCTTCAACCCATCTACCCATACATCACTAGCAATAATATCTAAGATGCTTAGTAAGCAACACAGAAAGGTGAGATGAGTGAAAAATGAAAGGGTTGTTTTTGTTGTTTTGTTTTTCTTTTGCTTCTGCTTTAAAAATAGGCATCTGAGGACTGTGAATTACTATCGTTAAAATAACGGTGATGGAGATTCCATGCACTGTAAAGCATTTCCGGGAAGAGAAAAAAAATCACAGGAATTGAATCAACAAAGGAAAAATGAGAAGCATAAAGAAAACCCTTTTTGCTTTAAACTGGAAAATCCTAACTCCTTGAAGGAAGATAATGATACTCTGACTCAAGAGAGAAGCTAAAAAAGCACAAATCACAAAGAACAAGTTCAAAACACTTATGAGAATGGCAAACATTTGTAAGCCTCTCTAACTCTAGAAAACTAACTATTGATGATGCAGAAGTGACCCTCTCATTCCTCAAGATGGAGGTGAGTGTGTTTACATAAAACCCCCTCTGCTATCAACTTGGCATCCTCCCGGCAACTGTCCCAATCAGTAAGACACTGCAGTCACAGGAGGAACTTTATTTTATCTTAAGTTTAAACAATTCTAATACCTCCAACATATTTAGGATACCTAAGTCCAAACAAGAGCTTAAGCAGAATTATAAACCTTTAAAATCTTGACAACATTTTTTGTGGGTCCTGAAGATGATCAAAAGTGCTAGTTTAGCTACCTTCAAAAGACCTTTATTTCCCTTTTACCTTCATTATGCAAATTTCCCTTTCATTCTTTTCTCACACACTACTAGCCTGCCTCCTCAAAAAAAGGAAAAGGAAAAAAAGTAAGAAAAGAATGGAACAAAAGAAAAATAAAAAAGGAAACAAATAAAAGGGACAAAGAAACAGGATAAAGAAAAGAGACCGCAGATTTAAGAAAAAAAAATTCAATTTAGCAAATTCACCAAAACAATGTGAATATATCCTAAAGTGATTAAACTCAGAAATGATGTGCATTTTTCCAGTTTACACAGTTTGACCAAAAACAGCATGGCTTTATGTGGTAGCAAACCAACTGCTTCTACTTTCATAAGTGATTTTGCCCACATATCAACCCACTTTAATTGTTAAACAGCAAAACTTTCAATGAAAAATCATTCATTTTAACCAGGATCACACCAGAAAACTGAAGGTGTGTGTATATATATATTACCATTTTTTAAAAACAAAAACAAAAACAAGCCAAAACAGATTAACAGCAAAGAGTTCTAAAAAATTTACATTTCTCTTACAAACCGTCATTCAGAGAACAATAGTTCTTAAGTCTGTTAAATCTTGGCATTAACAGAGAAACTTGATGAAGAGTTGTAGTTGGAATATCGTGAATTTTTTTTTTTTTGTCTAATCTCCCCCTATTGTTTTGCCAACAGTAATTTAAGTTTGCATGGAACATCCCCGTAGTTGAAGTGTAAACAATGTATAGGAAGGAATATATGATAAGATGATGCATCACATATGCATTACATGTAGGACCTTCACAACTTCATGCACTCAGAAACATGCATGAAGAGGAGGAGAGGACGGCCCAGGGTCACCATCCAGGTGCCTTGAGAACAGAGAATGCAGAAGTGGCACTGTTGATATTTAGCTGAAAGGAGAAAGGGGGAGGAAGAAATAAATTATATTGTTTTACAAAATACCAAATTGTTTTGCCATAGATTTGACTAGGCTACAGTTTTATAACTTGGCTAATGAATAGATTGAAAACACTATGTATAAGAGATGTTTGTTTGTGATCATTACAAGAAAAATACAATGTTACACAAAGACAATATTAAAATAGAAAATCAGTATTAATTTTTTTTTCACACAAAGCTAAGCTAAAAATAAAGAGACAGGGACACAGTCTTCAATCACATTATTATTAAATCTACGTATACATCTTAAGCATTCCTGTTTACTCGACAAATTAGTAAACAAATATAATCCTTTTGTTGAAATAGACTCCTCCTTAGCTTTTGTTATTAGTATTAGATTCCTTGGGAAATTGAACTTAGAGGTCAATTTGACAAGGAATATAGTCTCAAAAGTAGGGAGAACATGATTACTCTCTTTAATTGGAGCTCTCCTTTGTTGAAAGCATCAGAGCACTATTTGCTAAAAGCTCTGAAGAGGTTTAGCTCTTTGAATGAGGCAAATATTCAAAACAGCACCATATATATCTGAATACTTGTAACCCAAATCTAAGAAACAAATAGTTAAAAACAACAACAAAAACGTGAAGTTAATTACAGTCAACTTTCAATTATCCTCTGGAATTATCCACTTTGTGAGTTCTAAATTTCAGCTTGACTTCCTCGTGTGGCCTGTCCTCATGGTCAAGTACCATTATACTCAGACACAGCAAACTGGCTTACACATTTGCCACAGCCAGCTGATTATAGGAACGGCAACCTTCTGAAAGAATGGTTAATACACCAAAGGATCCTAAAGCTTAGTATAAATTAAGTCTGGATAATTGAGAGTTATCTGAATTGACCCAGATATAATTTACTTTTGATGTGAAAACTTCAGGATTCTAATGTGACACAATCCACATGTTGGAAAAAATCCTTTTCAGTGTTTATTAGGATTATGCTACCAAATGGGGCTGAAGGTTAGAATCAAGAGCTCATGCAAAATTGCTATGAATTGTCAAAGATCTTGTATGTTTTTCATTGAATATTATGCAAGAGAAAATATCTTCAAAGGGAAGAAAAACAGCCATGCAGCTTTTCATTCAGCTCCAATCACAAAGTATCACGGAGCAGGATGCTACTTACAAGACCCATATGTGAATGGTTTTCAGGCCTTAGATGTTTTGCCACAAAGAGGTGCCTCCTGAGAAGTTTTCTTTCCCATTTGGAATACAGGGTGGCCTATTAAGAGAAGCCCCATTTAAGCCACCTGGCATAAAATGAAGTCATCTTGAATAGGCTCTATCCCATAAACACTTCAGGGAATTGCAAAAAATCCTAACCCCCTGGTACTGTATGAATGTCATCCTCCCTTCTATATTAATTGACAATCAGTTTGTGCTGTACCCCTTTGGGGTAGAAAAAAACACATAAAAACAGTTGTCTTCATTATATTCATATTCCTTTTGTGTTTTTCTCTTAATTACATAGCTATTGTTTTTGGAATAAATTCCAGCCTATCGCTTGGTTTGTTTTTTGTCCCTGTTGACTCACTTTTTACAAATCCAACAGTGATATATAATTATTAAGGCTACACAGAAGGTCTCTGAAAACCACTGTGGTATGTTATCAAACTAAGAAATTGTGATGGATTCTATGGAGTGGGTTGAATGCCTGTTTGTATGAATCCCCATTCCACATCCCAAATATTAACAGGTGATCCTGGTGAGAGAATGTGGAAAGAGATCAACAGTGGACCAAACTTCTACACCGAGTTTAAACTCTTCTTGTTTTCATCTCACTCCACTTTACCAATAAACCTATTTTGAATTATTCCTCTTTAGTTGTAACCAGACTTCCTTACCAATAACGTTCTATCATATTAAACTAAATCCTGATAGTGTACTTTTATTTCTGATGCTCGTTTAGCTTGGACTATTCTCCTTTGTTTTTTCTATATTTCTATGTCTCTAAATCCTACTCATCATTTAAAACTTTGCCCAAAATTCTATCTATACACAAAGTGTACTTCCAAACTGTTATGAACAGTTTGCTACACTGTTCGTTAATTTTACTGTATTCTGAAGTTGATTATAAATTTTATTATATCAATTTTCTTCTTTGGAATCAATGATTAGCTAAATGAGAATACATGTTTTTTGAAAGCAATATCTTTTACTTTGTGTTGAATCTGGCACAGGTTAAGCACCTTGGAGATTCACAATAAATATGTACCTAATCACTGACTGGAAAAGCAAACAAGATATCTGAGGTAGAATGGTGAGGTGAGAAAGACATTGCAATACCTAACAACTGCCTTTTAAATGCTGACTCTAAATTTTTCCTAACATCTGTAATTGAGCCCCAGGGGAACATCTATGAAATGAAACTCCTGATAATATATTGGCCATTTTAGAAAGTCCTTTCTATGATTTCCTCTGATATCTCCTTCCTCTGTCCATTGAGTAAATGAAGTCACAGATATATTGCCTTATGATATGAATCCCCTGGATTTAACCCTGTGAGATTTTGATAAGGTAGTCTCTAGTCCTATCTAAACCTATCACATACTGCTCTATAGCAAGGTTCAACCCACAAATGGCTGATCTGATCGATCTTTCCAGAGATTCTTAAACTTTTCCCGTGAAGGCATTTATTTCCATCAATGTAACCAACCACTAGCATTAAATAACATATGCCATGCTATCAACACAGTAGAAGGAGCTGACCATGGCTGCATTAACAAAGAAGCTGGAAATATTTACTTGATGGGTACTGTTGGTGACCCCGAGCGATGAAAATGAACATTCTGCCACTTTCCATCCCGGCGGTGCCACACACGAGTCTCTTCTGACTGCATTGTCTTTGGCATTCCACTGCCATCCATGTACTGTGTGAGCCTAATATATGCTATGCAGGCGGCATCATCCCCTACCAGATGTACGTGAGGGTTTAGAATAATAGTGTGGATTGGTTTATTGCTTTTGGACAAAGCTGAAAGAGAAAAACATGAAAAGCAAAATTTAGTTCCTGTGTAAAGGAAACTAAAACCAGCCATAACTTCAGGTAGGGCCAATAAACGGAATGCCATTTATTCACTCACAAATTAGGTAATTAATCTACTGTTTGCACTAATCGGGTGCTAGGCACTGTACAAAACAACAAGAGATCAAAAGTGGACACAGTCTTTATTTTATCTGATTTCCTTTACAGGCAATTTACATGCTCCTCTGGAAATTCTGTTTGGGTGAAAAAGCTGTAGAGATATATTAATTTATAATGGAAAGTACTTAGAAACAGAAATCACAATATGAATAGAGGTGAAGAAGGCCTGGCCCAGGTGTGCCAAGCAGTTCTTGCCTTTCCCAGAAATGAACTGCTGGGACAGTCGACCAGGGATTTTGTAGTGGTGTTTGTTTTTGTTAGCCAGCAAAGTATGTGGGACAAGGGAAATACATCAAGTTTCAGGTATGGACATCACTGTCTCCAAAATAAGGCTGGTGGCAGCCTTTGAAAAAGCCTAGGAACTTGTTTCTCATCTCATCCTCTGACTCCTCCACATACTAAGAGTTCATTCCATAATAGTCCACTTGTGATCATTTGATAAACATTCAAATTGTGTTGGCATATAGCCTGATTCTGATCTTCTAGCTCTTTCCTTTGACTCAGTAGCCCTCACTAGTCTCCAGCCTCTCGTGTTTTGACAGTAGCTACTAATTCTAACGACTCAATCACCAAGAGATATAAGGGTGATTTAGTACACATTACTTATTGATGCTGTTCCTTTCTTAGATCACTAGAAAAGGTTGAATTGTTTTTAGTTGTTATCCAAACATGCTTTCCATTCTCTGAAAATACCTATTCAAATTATATGATATATTATTAGAGTCACCTAAATACCCCATTATGGAGAATATATATTTATGGAACATGATGTATGTATGTGTATATTTGTGTCAAGCTGAAAAAGGTTAAAATATTAATGGGTTAATTCTTTCATTAGGGATCAGATGGTGTCAATAGAGAGTCTGTTGGAGGAAACATGAGATGCTACCAGAGCGCTGGAATACAGGGAATGTGACATTTACTGAAACTTTGTTAAGAGAATTTATCAAATAGTTATTTTTGTTTGTTTGTAAATGCCTAATGCATATAAGAAAAAGTAACTCATTTAACACATTTTAACTTGAAAATCCATGCAACAGCAGACATTCTTATCAAAGCTTATAATTACTGAAAGAGATGTGATTATCCTTGCCATTACTATAATACATCTCATCTTTAATTCAAAAAGATCTCTGCAAAAGGAATGAATTCACTTTATGCAATATGCAAACACAGTATAATGTCTAATGTCATTAGGTATAAGGAAAAAGAGAAAGATAAAGGGAATTCCTGGTTTACACTTTTCTTGATGACCTGACCAAGGATTTATGCAGGATGAACTCCATTTGTCACCTTCTTTGGAAATGTCTCTTTCTTCTGAAACTACAAGTAGTCTTAAAATTTGAATTGAAAAATTTATCTCACTATTCATCTTCATTTTCATTTTACTTTGAAAATAAGAATCACATATGCTTGAAAGCACTCTTCTATGTTGACTATTTTGGCGTGCTGTGGTTTTAAAAAATTTATTCCTCCTGTTTTTTTTTTTCCTTATTTTTATAATTTGAGGCAGGGTCTCATTCTGTCACCCAGGCTGGACTACAGTAGCATGATCATAGCTCATTGAAGCCTCAACTTCCTGGGCTCAAAGTGATCCTCCCATCTCAGCTTCCCAAGTAGTAGGACTAAAGGTGCTTGTCATCATGCCTGGCTTCTGTGTAGAGATGGAGTCTCCTTATGTTGCTCATACTGGTCTTGGATTTCTGGACTCAAGCTATCCTTCCACCTCAGCCTCCTAAAGTATTGGGATTACAGGCATGAATCACTGTGCCTAATTTTTTAATATATAGTTTTATGAAAAGTTGAAATAACATTTTTTTGGTAATTGATTTATAGCTTATATTATTAACTGAGACTTGCATGAAGTGTATTCAATCAACATTCCTTATTTATTATTTTTTTTTGAGACAAAGTTTCACTATTGTCACCTCAGTCTCATGATCTTGGCTCGTTGCAACTTCCGCCTCACAGGTTCAAGTGATTCTCATGCATCGGCCTCCCAAGTAGCCGAGATTACAGGTGTGCATCACCATGCCTGGCTAAATTTTGTATTTTTAGTAGATATGGGGTTTCACCATATTCATGAGGCTGGTCTCGAACTCCTGGCCTCAATTGATTCACCTGCCTTGGGCTCCCAAAGTGCTGGCATTGCAGGCATGAGCCACTGTGCATGGCAAGCATTAATTTTTATACAAAGGTATTTTTCAAAACACACAAAAACTGTAAGCCAAACCTGATATATTTTCTTTTTCAATTTTGAATACAAAAAAATTGTATGGTTTTAAATGCTGGATGAAGGTAAAAACTCTCATTGTAGAATAGAGCCAGAGAATCTGCAGATTTGGGAAAAACTCAGAGCAGTTGAAAAAGGGCCTGTTATTAAATTAGAAATAAATGTACCATTTTCAAAGTAGAATCGGTGAAAATCCATCCCTTCCACTAAATTACCCAAAGCTTCAGGTTCAAAAGCGGTAAGGCCTGGGTCACAGATTTTTCTGTAAAAGAAAAATAATGAAAACAACCGATTAATAGGTGCTTTAATGTGTTTTGTTGTTTCATGTGTAAACATTCTTATTCAACAGTCACTGAAGGAAACAGCCTCTAAAAACACTTAAATACAAAGTTTTATGACAAACCTTAGCAAGGTGTGTTGAGGGGCAGACTAAAAAGGCATTTTGCAGAGAACTCTGATAGGAACAAACTAATTTAACCAGTTCAAGCAGATGATAACATACAATATTTTAGGAGGCCCCTTTTTGTAATTTCTACTTTTTTTTTTTTATTTTTAAGGTGAATTTTCCAGTTTTTTACACTTGATTGAGGTTTATTATTTTTTAAAAATGCTCTCCAGGTCCTATAGTCCAAGTTTAAGACACTCTCCAAATCCTATAAACTTATCTTTCGTTCTGAAATTACATACTTCTGGAATAATTTTTTTTTTTTTTTTGAGACAGGGTCTTCCTCTGTTGCCCAGGCTGGGGTGTAGTGGTGCAATCATGGCTCACTGTAGCCTCAATCTTCCATTCCCAAACAATCCTCCTGCCTCAGCCTCCCCAGTAGTTGGGACTATTAGTGTGCAATACCCCACTAGGTTAATTTATTTTTATTTTTAGTAGAGATTGGGTTTCCTTATGTTGTCCAGGCTGGTCTCGAACTCCTAGGCACAAGGATTCTCCCACCTTGACCTCCCAAAGTGTGATATTACAGGGGTGGGCCACCGTGCTTAGCTCTGGAATAATTTTTTGATGGACCACATCTTCTACATTCATGTCAAACATGTATATTACAATTGGCTTGAAATAAAGTATCACATCCTACACTTCCTGGCAATGTCCATAAGACTTATGTAGCCTGTGTTCAAGTTTATTTTACTTTTAAAATGAAATCAATAGGAGGTTCAAATGCACATACTGGTTTTCTTTCTTAATCCTAAAACTATGATTCACTAAAAGGGTACACAATTTTAAATATTCAGGAAAAACTAATGAGCTTTCTTTGGAGAAATTTATTTAATCCATAAAGAATTGTTGAACACCTAATATGTGGCAGATATTCCTCAAAACAAGAAATTACAATATAATAATCAATACTAGAATAGATAGAAATGCAAAGCACTCAAAAAACAGATTACTAATGGTGAACAGGAAAGGTTTAAGAGAGGAAGAAAGTGTGAGCTGGGCTTTGAAGAATGAGTAAGAGTTTTCCAGGTGTGTGGGAGGTGGTGGGCAGTGGGAGGGCAGCAAGTGCAATGGTCTGCTGCTGTGAAATTGCAAGTACATTTGGAAAATGATGGCTGGTTGTTTGATATGGAAAGCAGAGTCACTGTGATATGTGTGTAAGGCCCCTGGAAATGTAGAGAGGAAAATATTTCCTTTGGGCCTATGGTGATTAGGTTAGGCTTCTCAGAGACGGTGACAAGATCTGGATTTGAAGAATGAGTGGGAGTTCACAAGGTAGATAAATAGACTACAGATCAAAGGATTTTGGGCTGTTTATTAATTTGCGCCACATGGTAATACAGTGGATGGGGACAAATAATTTCATAGAGAAATTCCCCATTTGGTGGGCAAAATTTCTCAAACATTCAATAGAAATACACATTTCTAAAGTCTAACTTACTGTAATTCCTCAAAGTGCAGTACAGTTTATAGAAGGTGGAACTGGTGTTATTTAAAGAATACTTTTACAAAGTAGGAATCACAGTGGATATCTTTTGTACCTTAAAGATGGAGGGGGCAAGGATTACAACCTTCACTTCAGACTGCCTGCTGGGCAGGTATTCTTAAGCTTAAAATCAAATATATATAGTCTCTTTCTAAGAAGCAAAATGGGAAGAACAGTGTTCCTATGGTAACAAGAATTTATTCTGCCAGAGGCTATTACTTCCTCTATAAATATGGTTTTCAGTTGTCATTATCAGTGAACCAAAATTTCTTACGAGCTTACATCAGTACTAACATAATTTGGGAATAACTGTGCTGTGATGGACCTTTTTACCCAGGCATGAAAAGAGTCAGTATATTTGAAAATCTGTCTATCTGTCTATCTATCTATATCTATCTACCTATCAATTATCTATCTATCTATCTGTCTATCTATCTATCTATCTATCTATCTATCTATCTATCTATCTATCTATCATCTATCCACCCTATAAAAGGCTTTGGCTTAATGAAAGATTCACAAAGCTGCCACGTGACATGTGGGTGTGTGTGATCTGAACACGTGTTCTAAGGACCAGCTGACAGGGCTACACCAGTACATTCTACCATCCCAAAAGCTCTTAAATGGAAGCCCTGTTGGATTAGCTCTAGCTGGAAAGTACAAAATCAGGCCAGATTATAGGTCTCCATAGGCAAAGATATTAGTCAACTGATGTGATCCCAAGGTTTAGCGTTATTTAAAACACCCTGTTTAACACTGTCTGAGAAAATAGAAAATACATACTTTTGCCTGGCTATAATTGTTCCCTATACAAAAATAGTATCTGTTTATATAAAATTTAGAAAGAATAGAAAAGAAGCAGGAAAAACTTAGAAAAAAAATTCACATAATTTTACCTCTCAGAGGTAACTTCTTTTTCTCTTTTTAACAACAACAAATACAAACTTTTTATCCTTCCACAAAAAAGATTTTTTTAAAAGAGAATATTTTTATTCTTTGGAGAATCATATGTATCTAACAAGGGTATAACATCAACAAAGATTTTTAAAAGGCAGGTTCTATGGTACAGCTATAAACCATTGCTTAATAGGAAATCATTGTCTCTGAAAACAGACTGTTCTTGTTAACTCAATTTTTAAAAATTATTTCTTTTATTCCAAGTATGCCTTATTAGGTCATGATAAAGAAGTGATACACTCAAATACATGCATATGGATCTGTTTATACACATATGCACGCACATTTAATTTAAAAGAAGCTCCTGATTTAGTTTCATTCTTACATTTAACTAATCTCTTCCATATTTTATATTTCGTATTTATTTATAACTAAAGATAAAAGTAATACTTGCTTATGTAAAACTTAGGAAGAATAAAAAAGCAGGAAAAAAATTCACACATAATTTTACCTCTCAGAGGCTTCTTTTTTTTTCTTTTTAAAATCTAATTTGGCATATTTCATTCCACTTTTAATATTTTTCACTTCTGTAGCTGGAATAAGTATGTACATACTCTTTTATGTCCTGCTTAATATTCAGTAAAAATATCATATTTTTCCAGATCACTAGAAACTCAACATAAACACTGTACCAAGATGACTTAATGATAACCATACTGTTGGGCACATACACTGTTTCTAATTTTTCACTACTATGAATTTTGCTTCAATATATATCTTCATTCACAAATTTTTGTCCATGTTTTACATAAAAAAATTTATACTCATGTTAAATTCTTATAAGTAGAATTAGAGTAGTACAGTAAAATGAGACTTTATAAAAGCTTTCAGGTATATAACAGATTATATAACAAAATATATTAATAATTCCTCCATCCCTGTTGCCACCACTATCTTGAAAGTTAGCACCCATTTATGTTTCATCCATGGTGTAGGAAAGTCATCACTGTCCTGCAGTATCTGTACCTTGCTGGCTGTCAGCAGAGTTTGTATCTCTGCTGATTTTACAGGCAGAAGAGGCTCTTACATTCAAGTTTGCATATACTTAATTAGTAAACATAAACATGCCTTTATTAGTTAACTTGTGATTTATATTTCCTCCTCTGATAATAGATCATGTTCTTTACCTATTTTTCTACTTTTCAATCATATTCACACAATATAAAAAATTAACTTTTGATACATGTTTTGCAAATGTTTTTCTAAGTTTGTTTGTCTCTTACTTTTATTCTTGGATTTTTAATTAAAGTATACGTGTTTTACCTATTTAGGTATAGTCGTATTATGTTCTCACTTACGATTACTTCTTCAGCTTTTGCATCTGTCTAGCCAGAGATCAGATTCAATCTCTGTTTTGCATTTAAGCCTTTCACTGGAGTTGAACTCATTCGTTGTATGGTATAAGAAGGCCCTATTTAAATTGAATGCTTTATTTTTACTGCAGCAAAGTCATTTCTTTCATAGTTCCTATGATCCAGGAGTTTATAAACTTTAAATAAGCATTAGAATTCATTCTTCAAGTAATGTTTTTCTTAAGATACAAACATATAAAAAAGATGCAGATAAAGTTGAGCTGTACTGGTTGAAGAGAGAAGGCTGCCTCACATCACCTTCTCCGCCCCCGAACTTCTGTAGAACTGCAAGGGGAGACATTTCGAAAGCTGAAATGCACATTTTATGTCCTTTCCTACTTTTTTGTGTTTTCGTTCACATGAATTGCTCTGCCTAGAATGCCCTTTTCTCATCTGAACTTGTGTGTGTGTGATGTTTGATGCAGGAGTGGTTATACATCTGCATATTTACAAAGAAATCTCCAATTGTTGGATCAGAAGTCAAGTCTTCTCTCTGTGAAATCTTTTTTTCTTTCTTTCCTTTTTTTTTTTTGAGACATGGTCTCACTCTGTCATCCCAGCTAGAGTGCAGTGAGGTGATAATGTCTCACTGCAGCCTCAACCTCCTGGGCTTAAGTGATCCTCCTGCTTTGGCTTCCCAAGTATGTAGGACTACAGGTGTGGACCACTATGCCTGACTAATTTTTAAATATTTTGTAGAAATGGGTCTTGTTTTGTCACCCAGGTTGGTCTTGAACTGTTGGGCTCAAGCAATCCTCCCACCTCAGCCTCCCAAAGTGCTGGATTATAGGTGTGAGCCACTGTGCCTGGCTTCCGAAATTTTAAATACATTTGTATCTCCTAGGGGCACTTAGTCATTTGTACTATGAAATAAAACTATCATTGACATATCAAATCTTGAATTAAAAATATGTGAATTCATATATGTAGAAGAATGCATTCATATGAAGAATACATTTCCATATGCATGAGAGCAAGGTAAACATCTGCTACTCACGTGTAGGCTTCAAAGTCCCCATTGTTGATAGCTTCGATCAGTTGTTCAGTGACTTTGATAATCTCTTGCTTTCGTGCTAAAGGCAAAAATATAGCTGGGTGAATAAAAGACAACATAAAAGACAAAAGTCTTATAAAATATTCCCTTTTATTTTTATTTTTTGAGATAGGGTCTTACTCTGTTGCCCAGGCTGGAGTGCAAGTGTAGTCACAACTCCCTGCAGCCTTGGCTTCCTGGGCTCAAGTGATCCTCCCACCTCTGCCTCCCAAAGTGCTGGGATTACAGGTATGAATCACTGTGCCCAGCCAGAATCTGAATTTAACATGACTCTCAGGTAACCCCTGTGTATATTTATGTTTGAAAAGTACTGCTATTTTCCATTTGTTTGAAAACAACAGTCACCTGAAGGATCAAGGCTATGTTTTTAAACATTAGTTTTTACTACCTTAAACAACTTGCTTGGATTAGTAAATATATTTTGATTCATAGTTAACAAATGTTATTAAAAACAATAATCTTAATAAGTATAATTCTAAGCATATATGTCTATCTTCAAAGTGAAGATGATATCTTGCATTGAGATGTTGAACTTTATATAACTATTTGCATTTTCTCACTATTCTGCTCAACTAACCCTACGAGAGGATGCCAACACTGTGATTGGCCTTCGTATTTAGACTAATGGCCTCTAGTAAACTCTACAAATTGAAGAAGTGACATATGAATCAATACTGTAGATGTAGGCAGATAATCAGATGAAAGCCTCCAGGTACAGCTGTCAACCCAACACCAATCATGATTTGTTTCTATTCCTAGCCCATAATTGGTAAAATTATTAATAGTTGGTTTGGCTCAAAACAAATTCAAATCAGTGAATTTGTTTCTACTGACATCTGCCTCAAGTGTTCTTTCTCTTTTTTGAATGCCTGCAGCATCTGTATCACTTACTTGGCAATTATGTATATGCTATCTCTTGATACCTTCTTCAGTTTAAAACACATTATTATTTGTTTTAAACTGTTATTAAACTTTTGGAATTGTGTAATGTGTCTTCCTTGTTAACTTAAAAGCTCCCTGATGGCAAAGCACATTTTATTTTCTTGTATAGTGTAAAAAGCTTTGTTCAATGTCTTTTATGGAATAGATGCTCAATGTTTGTGAATTTAACCAACTGAGTCTAATAATAACCTTTTGTCAATGTCAGAACACTGTTCTCTTACTTATAAAATTACTGCATGAAATATTTTAGAAATCAAATTTTATTGGATTTTGTTTTTACGAATATTGTGATATTCCCTTAAAATCACTGAAGATAGACTGGAAATCACAAAGTGTTACTTCCCATCTTATCTTACTGAGGTAGTGAGGCTGCTACTGATCTTGGAAAAGGCTGACCTCTGGTTTTTGTTCTTTATTGAATAAAGGCACTAGTTTCTATTTTTTAATGAATCTGATCTACATTAAGCAGATTTTAACCATATGCTTAAATGCTTACTTTCACTTTGAAACTTCAGGTTACCTAGGTGATGACATTATTTAAAAATAAATTTTCTATAAACCGAATTTTACTTCATAGAGACTATATGAGACTATATCATAACAAATACAAGTAATAAACTATCTTATAAAATGTCATTAAGTTAGTCCATAAAATGGTTGCTAACAATGTCAAGGTCTATAATATTAAAAAAACACCATATTGGTTAGAATTTGTATTCAATTATATAGTTACTTTTCATTTATATAAGGTAATATATCTCCTACAGAAGTCTAAAACATTTCTTGCTGTTGCTCATTTGATTGATGACTGTCAATAATATATTCAACAGCAAAACATACTGACAGAAGTGGTACCACGGCACAATTCTGTAATAATGATGCTGCCAGTGACACATTTTAGCTGAATTCAGTTAGGCAATAGGTGATTCATCCATCTGTGGCCTCAACGGTATGAACATTTGGCAAAAGCTAATGACAGCTGAACCGATGCTGGAATATAAAGGACAACGGTGCGGAGGATTTCAGAAAATGAGATCGTAAAATTGTGGCCATCTTCTCACATGAAATCCTCATTTCAAACTAACAGATTGTTTGTTTTTTTTTTTTTTTTTTTTTTTTT